TCAGGAAGGGAAGCGCCCAGGGTCAATCGTATCCAAGATATTCTAGTAGTTGCATCAACATAATACTGTTACATTGCTACTGTCAGTCTCGTACAAAGTATCGTCAAGTATATTAATTAACGGTCTGATACAATTAAATTCTACACTAAATCAAGACTGCGTCTCTGGAAGCAGCCTAATAATTAAATTATTAATTGTTGGAAAGTAACTTGTCACGTTTATTGTTGTAAAGTAAACGCTGAGAACATCCTTATACTGTCATCATAAATGCTCTCTTTTAATGATTAATACTAATATAAAGAAATTAGTCTATAAATTCTTCCAATTTTTATTATTATATATAGGATTATACGATTCTATGTCATTCGATTCTATTTCATTATCACACTATTTATGTTAAGAGTTGGAATTATACTTAATAACGAATAATCTTTCATTCTCTCTTCATCAACTGGACGGATTAAGAAAAATTAGAAACGGGCTTATGTTTCATACTCTAATTCTGCATGGTATACCGCCCTTACTACTACTTAGTATACACTATTTTACTTCGGTCCCGAAAGATCTGGCTCCCTGAGTCCATTTCGGCAAATTTAGGATCACATCAGGTCGTTCCTTTTATTGTGGACCAAGCATCTAGTTTTTCTTTGTTTTTTCTCCATCAAATCAAGTAATTTTTCAGTCATATTTATCACAATCAACTGAGGAATGATTTTGACGAGGTATTTCTTTATTACTCCTGTAATAATATTTCCTTTTATTGCCCTCAATATAAATACACTGGTTCCGCTATAAAGGAAACGTTTCAGTACTTTGAACCCCATCTCATCTTTAGTATTATCACAGTGGAATATTGTCAGTTAAACAAACTGTTAAAGATTATCCTCTTCTTAGTAATACCATCCATGGCTTGCTTCTTTTCTCATTGTGGTTTTCAGGTAGTTGTCCAAGTTGCATTGTTCGCTAAAACTTAACAAGATGAAAGTATTCCACATCGGCCGTAAGCGACCTCGGTGTGTACTCTTACTGATACCGAGTTACTACAATGGTAACTGTTAAAAGTTGCTGGAGAGGAATGCAGAGGGATACCTGTGGGGAGTCCTTTATAACCTGCGACAATGCAGAAGGTCTGACATAACCTTAAAGAGACTGCGTGAGTTGAATGTTGAAAAAGGGATGCATGAGCTAATTCTTGAGTACTTGGGGGGAGGGTGATTCGAAGGATGGTGAAGAGCTGCCTTCAGGGATCCATCCTGAAACCGAAACTCTAGAATCTCGTCTTCGATGAGGTCTTCGAAGAGGAAGGATTGTAGCTCGTGGGTTACGCGGACGATTTTCTGTTGATTGTTAAAGGGGACCCAGAGCAATTAGAGGAAAGAGGGACAAGACTGATGGGAAGAATGAAGGAATGTGTGGATAGTGTCGAAATGGAAATAGGAGAAAAACGTTTATGATGTTGATGAAAAGGCAATTGCAATGAAACCCAGTGGTGAGATTGTACCATGATACTTACATGGAACATCTGAGATATGTAGAAAATAATCTAATAAGACTGCTGGGTATGATGCGAAGGGTTATGTGTTGTGATTGGGGGCTTTGGCCTCTCGCCCAGCGTGTAATCTACAATGGATTATTTATGGGTGTTACATGGAACGGTAACAAGACATTATAGGTAGCACCAAAAGGGGCAAGAAACCTCCACAAATCCAATCGCATCTATTTTCGCATGGAAGCTTGGTACATAGAAAATAAATTGGGTGGAACACCAGATTTAGCGAATTTCGCACAAACCTTAGAAACCGCATGTGTTGATACCGTTGAAGATGGAAAAATGACCAAAGGTTTAGCGGCGTCTATTCATGGATTAAAAAATGTTGAAGAAGGAATGTTCTTTAATACTGAAGATTTCTTGGAAGAATAGAAAAGTATATGGAAAAAGGAGTAAATAGGATTTAAATCAAATTAATATGTAATAAAATAATTGAGTTGTAATTTTCCGACATCTGAATAGTAAAAAAAACTGTTTTCAGAAACTGTTTTCTTTTGGTGTTATGCTGTATGGATGTGGTACATTGGTGGGGTGAAAGTAGGTAACAGCCACTTCCGTCGGATGTTGTTGACATTTCAGCGGATGATCCTGTTAGCAACGGTGTCTAACGACGCGTTGCAGGTATTAAGCAAGCATTCGATGGATTTGGCTGTTGTTCGTGCGTATTTGGGTTATTGATCGGGAAAAGGAGAGAGAAGAGTGTTGTGTAGAATTGAGAGAAAAACGAGTGATGTTTCGTGTTGGAAGAGGAGGGAGAGAAAAAGATAGATGAGTCGGAGTAGGGTGACGTATGACTAAACAGAAATTGTGGTTTAAACGCAGTGTTAGTATGTGTTTGGTACTGATATGGCTTAATTAATGCGAAACTTGTGAAATTATGGTTAGAAGAGACGTATGGATGTGGTTGCGGTGAAAGAGAGACGGTGCATCATTTGACGAATGATTGTGTGTTTATGATGACTTTAGGGATCATCGAGGTTGAGACTGGAAGGGATGAAGAGGATGGATTGGCTCCAGGTGGTGATGGAGGAGGTTTTTATGGGCCTAAAGGAATTCGCGAAAAGCGGTAGAGCGGCTTAAGGTTGAAGTCTAGAATGGTGAAAGAAAGAAACAAAAAAAAGGGGTTAAGAACTTATGATGATGCTGATTCCTTGTATTCGAAAAGACGGTGATCTGACTAAATTTGCGGTGATAGTTGCTTGGTGAGGTTCTGATCGTGGAAGTGATGGTCCTTTGGATCCTAATCCCTGAAAAAGTCTAGTCATATTGTGGTCAATCTGATTGTATACTTACGTGTGTACCTAAATGAGGAGGTCGCCTGTATCCTGCTGGTGGTCTTGAACTGACGGTGAATCTGAACCGGCAGCTCAATAATGAATTAATTTTGATTGTCTTGTTTGCCCTGCCTGAGGTGTTGAGCGCTTTGGAGATCTGAAACAGAAAGGAAACGTTAAATTGATGGGGTTGCAGTCTAGTCCGATCCTAGTCTGTGTTGTGGTATTTTTATACAAGATTTTATTGTTTTTAACGTACATGTTAGTCATGTTGGTTGTTCGTCAGTACGATGTGTGGGCGTAGACGAATTATGAAGTGTTAGTTGCTTTAAAGAAGGATTTTTGTGTTAAATGTGTTTTTGGATGTTAAACGATATTTAATGCGTGTCAACGAGTTGGTGAACGAGAGAATGGATTTGGGAGATTCTTAAAAATTCTTAGAGGAGATTATTAAACGTAACGAATACGTTGTGTTGGCAAGGAAATTTGTTAAGACTTTTGGTAAGAAACCACCCAGTAACTATTTGCAACATGAACAATATAGGAATGACTGCGAACACAATGAGTTTTGTTCCTGTTAGAATGTGGTTTTTCAAGTTCAGAAAGAGTAGTAAAGTTGGTTTTATTATCTAAGAAGTTTTCTTTATCTCAACGTATTGAAAGCTTTTTAATAAATGATTTATCAACTAATTTCATATTTAGTTGATGATGAAGAATATATCTTGCAAATTTTTTTTATTCAACGATTCAGTAATTTATTTAAAGCATGTGTTCATTGCTAGCATGGCAATTATTGTTCAATTTTTGTTGAACTCTCATATTTTTTTAACTTGACATTTGCACATAACCCACTCTCTTCTTGTATTCATGATTATTTACTGAATAACGAAATCAAGTTCATATAATTAATAAATGTGTTACATTGCATTTATAATCACCAATCATCTATTCGATAAATGTTCTTTGTTATATTACTGATCCAAATTAATGAATCGTTTATTACTTATTTATGTAAATACGTGTTCAATACACGTAAATTACATAATAATTATTACATGTCAATAATCAATGATGTTATTACATCTTTTTAGATTTATATCTCTTTAAATAAGTTTTAATTTTAGTTTACACTATCTGTACAGAAACTAAATAACCTTCATTATTATTTACTAAAATCGTTTTAAATAGTAGACCATTAAAAATGAATTCTTTATTCGTATAATTTCTTTGAAACGTGAAAGTTTTTGTGAACGTCCGTGGATTTGGAAGAAACCCAACTCGACAAATTGACAGTTATTTTATTTAGAATGAAATATATAGTCGCTTTGAGGGAATTTATTGATTGAAAAAGTCCATTTTCAGTCAAAGGGAAACGGGACCTCTTTGAACGAGTCGAGACTCATGTTGACGACGTTTCGGCACACACATTATGTTACTTCCTCCAACTCTTTCCTATTCCTTCATCTTCGTTTCTTTCGTTCACTAAGACGTTACTACATGCACCACTGTTAAAGTTTTTATCTTAAAGGCGCTTTTGTAGACTTTTCCTTTAGAAATTGGAAGAAGTGTATCCTAGACGAAAGTTCCCGTTCGATTATACGGGGAAAGAGGAACTTATAACGTTACGATAATTTAATAGGTCTTTTATATACTACTAGCACTACAAGTGTAGTAGTAGTAGTATAAAGGCATGCGGAATGTATTACACTCGGTTGTATCCTATTTTACAATATACGTGTTTTTAATAAGTCCGTGAATATTCATACAAGTATTTAATATTCGCATGGGTTATTAATGTTTGCATGGCAAAGCAAAAGGTATTTAATATTGAATTTTAAAGGGAAGTATCATATGAAATTAAAATTAAAATAAAAGCGCAAATTGTGTACATAGTTTTTATATAGCTTTGAAAGTGTAGTTGAATTCAACTTCAACAAGTTTTTACGTTATAACTGAAAAAATAAAAATAATGGTGACGATTTTTTTTGTTCGTGTCATTTTGAACAATACAATGTTAAAATTAAAAATAATTTCGTAATTGTTTAAAAAGTTTTATATTCTCACAGGAAAGACAAAATAAATATAGAAATATGAAGATAAAAAAAAGCTTTGAAAGAAAAGTTTTGTGTGTGTAATCCAATATTAGTTTTGACGATATTTTTCTTTCTTTCTTTCAGGCCCTATATACTGGGGATTGATGAACCCCCAATGGAACATGTGCGCGAAGGGAAAGAAACAGTCACCTATAAACGTGGAAACGAAAAAATTATTGTTCGATCCACATTTGAGGCATATACATCTCGATAAGCACAAGGTTTGTAATCTCTCTATCTTCCTTCGTTTCTTTCCCCCATTTTTCGATTTCATTTATTAAAGTCCATCTCCAAGATTGCTTTCTGATTTTAGTTCGGCTTTACCTTCAAATATTTGATAAATTATTCCCGATGTAATAATGTTTTGATTTGTGAAATTAATAAGCTAAAATAACAATTAACATAGATGCACTTAACCGGTCGAATATTGCAAACAGGACAACAGCATAAATCTTAATACGTTGTCCAATACATGACATCCTACATTTACAATAAATCTTACTTGCTTAATCCGAACATGTTACTGTATTAGATTTCGGTGTACGACCACAAACACGCATAGATTAACTAAATAGGACACATTTACTTTAGCCAAAAAGACGGATATCTCATTTTGGGAACTATTAAATTCAAAAAGTAATTATAGTGAGTTTTTATCGAAATTATTTGTAAATGAAGAATTGTTTAAAAATGTTCACTTTCTAGAATAATTGTATCTTAAAACTTAAAAACATAAACGTGCATGATAATATAAACTATTAGTTGAGCAGTATACATAGGGATTTTAATTGAATTAATAAAAATTATTATGAAATTTTGTTATAAAATTATAGCGCTTAAGAATCTGGTTATATACTATTATTGATGGATGCTACTGATTTTGTGATGAACACTATTACTCATCTAAATAAGTAATGTATCCACATGAGGTTACAATGGGATGTTGTCCTACACATAGCATGTATCCACTACAGGTTACATGGTACGCAAGGGGTTAAATTTTGCATGAATCACATTTTGCATCACAAGTTATATTGACGTAGCTAACAGAGTAGCTCACGTCTAAGAAATTCTTTTTGAACATCTAGTGGAAGCACGTCTCCCCTAAAAACAATTCTGCAAGTTGCACGTCTCCCTACGTCTCTCGTTTGGGATCATCAGGGTTATGAAAAAATTGCTTGTATTGGTACACATTCATCTCAATTCATAACTAGAAATCTATGGAAAATTCCCAAAGACGAGGCGTACCTACTTCATGTTTCTACAGAGTTAGCAAGTACTACTTCCTGTTTTCAGCGCGATACTTTGTTATCAAAAATACTTCTCGTCGCTTATATGCTAGATATGTTGTTGAAATTCTATCCTGTTGATTTGATTCACATATCTCTCCTGAAATCACTACGATTGTCCACTAAATAAGTTTTGCACGTAGAGTTGATTATTTATTAAACAATTAGTTTCATTAGAGTAGGCGGTCATCTTCTGCATTTCCAACTTGATTTTAAGATTCGTCATCCTTTGCTGCTACCAAGTAAACACTGTTTGAAAGAATTAAGTAATTCTATCAAACAGTGGATGAAACTTGTGGATGAAACACATAGATTCTATGAGTTTTTTCTACACGTTGTATTCAAAACTCTTTAATATCTGTTATTTAAAAAAATGTTGTATTTTATTGACGAGAAGATTTCGACAACATTATCTTTCTGAATGCTTGCATGAGATGCTTTCGATATCTTCCAAAAATAGACACTCAACCTATGAGTGATTTGATTTCTTCACTTGTGTTTTCGTCTATAGAGCTGCTAGAGCAATTCACTTAGAGTTTGCCTCTTATTTATCTTTAGATGTATTTATCGTAGCGTTTCTCGTTTCGCTCCCCATCTTGGACATTGCTCAGATGTACATAATGATCAAGGGACTAATTTTGAGGATATGCGTCATCAACTGGAAGTGTTGTTTATATTACGTAGAAAGAAATTGTTGACTAAATGAAAACTGATTCCGCGGGAAGCATCACATTTTAATTGTTTTGCTGTTGAAAAAGTATCACATTGTAGTATACATTGACAAGTATTGTTAGAGTAACATAGTGATTTTTGTTATTGTTTGTATTAGAGACAACGAAGAGAGCTCTTTGGAGCAATTGTGACATTTTAAGATCATTAACTGACATATGTTGTGGTGATATAGGAAGTACATCTTTTGAAAAACTGAACCGATCATATTTTCTACTTTCAGAAAATAACTCATAATTTTCTGCTTAGCTTTACGATGCATTTTTATGATATCTTCAATATCTGTTGTATATCTTATAAATGTAATGTTATTGCTTGATCATTTGATTTATATGTTTGTATGTTTGTTAAAACTTGGGATTCGTGCATATCGCAGTGCCATTATGCAATTATGTCAAATTCGAGATTATTTTAATATGAACGTGTGAGATGGAGACGCACCATCATCCAGGTGTATTTACACGCTGATTAAATAATTAATTAACTACTATTTAACCCTATTTACACTATTAACCTACTATAACTACCCTATTAAACACTATTTATTCCTATATAGTAGTTACAAAAAACAAAAGTAAACAGTTTTAGGCATTTAGGAGTTTGTATGGTATTGATACACTATTATAATTATTAGACTAACTACATTCCCAAAACATGCATTAATAGACGATAGAATATTAAATTTAAAAAGTGCACGTAACTCCATATTACAGCTAATACATCCGGGTAAAATACTGCGCAATTTGATAGAAATTTTATATCTGACTGTTTGTCATCATACATTCTTATATATTTTATTAATTTATCAACAAATTCAATCTATAAAGAATATAGAGAACTGAGAGCGAGGAATACAAATTGAGATTATGGAACCCAAGCTCAGTACAGTATATGAAATATGTTTTCATTAGATTAAGTACAGTGAAAGTGAAAAGTTAAGAAGATACAACAGCATCTTGATATAACCATAAGACACATCGCGTACTTTGGATTCACCATAACATTCACTCAGACATTTTTACATTCAGACAGAAACGGGTCTCACTGAGATATGACTAATAAAATTAAAAGACGTTGTCAAAGAGTGGTTCCAAGGATATAAGAAAGCAAGTGGATAATAATTAACCATACCACAGCTTTATAAAAGTGAAATTGCATAAGAACGGTCCGCTTCCGATCATCCATTACATTTCACACATCATCCATAATTTGAACCAGAACAGCGACTAACTGATAAAGATAAAAAGGTAATTTATTCATGAGGCATTTCACGTGTTTTGCGTGAAATTTGTCTACCTTTACTTATTCGTCACTACTTTTTCATAGAATATGTTCAGCGATCTCTCACTGGTCGCTGCAAAGTCGACAAGTTTAGTCCTCAGTTAGCCCAATGATGAATAGATAGTATTTTAGTTGCGTATGGCTGGTCAGGAAACCTGAGAGCGACCTTAGATCCCCTTTACTGAGGCATAAAACTTCTTTGGTTTTCTTTTGCGACGAAGTTTTCATACTCTTCGCCTGTTTGTGCCCGGAAGTTCTTTCCAGCGCAAGGCCTCCATTATGTCCTCTCATGTTAGTGTTCGCCTTTTCATAGCTCTCAATATATTTGTGACACATAAAGTAACTTCCTTACCTCTGGCGAGTTTTCTAAGATTGTCGGTACATTCTTTAACCAGTGCGGATTCATACGTGTAAGCCTGAATTACTTTAGAGCGGTCCGACTGTCCGTAAAGTTGTTTGCCGATACCCCTTATCAAGGTTCAAAACGGTGCAGAAGTTTATGGCAAGAAATTAATTGTTATACAATCAGCTTGAAAAATGGTTGTATCCAAGCTTAAGGACATCTTAATGTGGTTTTTTGGTCCGTTGTCTTTACTACCTACTCAGAATCCAACTATCTTTGAAGCATCGGTGTACCAGGCAAGGGCTCCTCTTTTGGAATTCTTCTACTCTTTTTGAAATTATATTCTGTCGGTATACGATCCGTTTTAATTTGAATCAAGTGGTTTAGACATGGGTCCCTGAGGATTTTGAGATATCCTCTGATATTACCCTGCATCAACTTGAGTAAAGAGCGTGTCTTCAATGATAAGGCACTCAAAGCTGCCTCCTTTTGTACCAGATCTCACTGCATCCGTTATATTGAGACATGCAAGTCGCTGGATTCGTGCCAGCTGTTGTTGCGCTGTCTTGTGATTTGTTTTTGGTTTATTTATTGCCATATAGGCTCAGTAAGCCATTCGTGGCTTATCCCAGATTCCAGCTCCTTCCAAGGAACTTACGGCAAATTTAGCTATGATGGATGGGATTTCTTCATCACTATCTGATTCTTCTAAATTATGCTTATGCCGTGCCTATTTGTGTGAACCCAAAAGATACCTCTTTATTTACGACTTGTTTATGTACACCATCATAAAACTATTGCCCCTTCTATTGTTAAGGGTCTTTTACAGCCGTATCGTAATTCCGGATCTTGGTGTTTTGATCCTCTCTGTTTTGAGGTTAATAGCTCTACCTTCAATAGAGGATGCTCTCAGTTGTAGCTTCGATTATTTTGGTAAACAAGATAGTTACTTCGGTTGTGACTTCGATAGGATTTTCTGTTGCACACTCCAGTCGTGTTTTAATACATTCCTGTAAGGATAAAGATTCTCAATACGCGCAATTACATCGCCATGCTATTTCACCGCTATTTTCATCGCTTAGCCTATGTTCCTATATTTAGACAAGATGGACTGAGGGCTTATTTTTTTGTATAATTTCAAACATCAAGAATATTGCAATCCAAAAACGGCAAGACAATATTGTCGAAGAGATTGGAAACTTAATGAAACAGCCTCGAAGGTTCTTAAGTTTATTACTAAATGTCTTGTATGAGAGTAGTTCACACATTAAAATTAAAAAATGGTTGAATAGAAAAAGCTGGAGTTAATGCTGGCATTCTTTGTGGTTATGAAGATCACTTTTGATCTGCTGAAGTAAGAACATTGACAAGCACAACATTGGCAGCAAAAATTTCTTTATAATATTGTTATCTCTATAACTTTCACGTTTTTATATTTGTTATTATTGCACTCATTTTCAAGGTCTAACAATTATATTCGTCTTGAACAAGGACTCTGTATCTCAAATCTCTCTTTTCCAAATTATTTCTATTTTAATGTTTTATGATTTTATAATATTTACGACTTATTACTTTTTACGACGGTTTACGAAAGCAGCTTCTAGACCAGTGATTCTCAACCTTTTTTTTGTTACGGCACACTTTTAACGATTTCAAAATTTGGCGGCACACAAACAAAAAGATAAGTTTAAAAATTATTTACTTACCTATAACACACTGCGTAAAATAGTTTATGATAATAATTTTAAATGTGTGAAATCATATAATATATACTACAAAAATAATAGTACGTTTATTAAGGGATTAATTACAAGTTAATAATAATACTAGTACTAATACTTTTAATGCGAAATTTGAGCTTGATGTTTTTTGATAATTTCATTTATATTTGATCGTAAAAATGACAATGCTACTCTCATATCGTCTTCTACATTTCACAATCTTGATCTTTTTTTAGTTTTAATGTTGGTTAATGCTGAAAATCCGAATTCACACAAATAAGATGTGGAAAATTGTAATAATATGTTTAAAGCTTTATGCTATTTTACTTTAGCTATGTTTTGGCTATCATTGGATAATCGCATCTAATGTTAATCCAAAATGAAATAATTGATTCTTCTGAATGTTTTGAAATGAAATCTCGATTATTGGAAAGCAAAATGAGTTCTTCCTCTTCATTCAAAGTTAAGTCAAATACAGAAGTATCCGTTATGAGAAATGGATTACGAATCCAATCAAATTTCTTTATATCTACTTTGGGAAATAATGAATAATTTTCTCCTTTAATGTTGTCAAATGGTCAATAACAATTATTTTAATATTTTTATAACAGTCTTTTGGTACTGACTCAAACTTTTCTAAATTGCCTTTCTGAGCTTTATTCTTCCATAAAGTTATTTGTTTTTGGAATCCTACCAGTTTATGGGTTGAGTTTAAGATATTTTCATGAGGCCCTTGTATACTTGAATTTATGTTATTAAAAATAACAAAAATGGCTGATAAGTAAGCCAGTTTAGTACACCATATTTTATCTTCCAACAAACGAGCAAAATCATAATTTTTATCTTGTTCAAAAACATTTTCATTTCGTCTTTTAATTCCACACACGAGATAAAACTTTTAAAACCTCTGGACAACCACCTTACTTCCGTATGCAGTAACAAGGATTCGTACTTGGCTTCCATAGATGGCATAATTTTCTAAATAATGGTCTTGATTTTATATAATTAATCATTTTAACATATTGGTCCAGAACTATTTTCAATTCTGGTGACAAATATTTTGTAAGAAGTGCTTCTCGATGCAAAAAACAATGGGTAACTAATATATCCCCATTCAGTTCTTTAACATGTGCTACAAATCCTTTTAGATATCCAGTCATAGCTGGAGCACCATCTGTACAAATGCCAATACATGGCTTCCACGAAACTTTAATTTCTTCTAAATATGAACTAATTACATCAAAAATATGTTTGTTAGTTGTAAAATCAGGTAACTCCCGACAGATTAATTATATCATTTTCGTGAATAAATCTAACGAATGCAATTAATTGAGCTTTTCCTGTAATATCTGTTGTTTCGTCGATTTGTAGAGCAAAATTTGAATTTGCAATAGTTTTTGCAGTATTTTGCTCAATATTTTGCGACATATCTTTAATTCTGCGATGGATTGTGTCATTCGAAAGTGGTATTTTACAAATATCAATATCTGCTGATCCACCAATCATTATGTTTACAATTTTGCGACAAGCTGATAATATAATTAATTCAGCCAACTTGTGAGGTTTTAATTTAACAGCAATCAATTCAGCTATTTCGTAAGAAGCTACTTGAGCCTTTTTAGACACACCAATTTGTTTTTCAAAAACTTTTACTTACTTGGATTTTAAAGATAAACACTTTTGAAAGTAGCTTTTATCTTTTGTTGAAAGCGAAGTATGATTAGTCACCAAGTGACGTTGGAGCTTGCTCCGAACCATAGCACTATTTAATAATTTACAACCACATATCACACACTCGGGAACAACTTTGTCATTTTCCATTGTAGAGGTAAATCCAAATTTCAAAAAATCATCATTGTATTTCCGATGAACAACGTATTTTTTGGAGCAAGAATTATCTTTACTTGTACTGGGCGTGGGCTCATTAACTTGGTCGCTTACGTCATCATTATCACTATTATCATCGTTAAGCTTTCTTCGTTTTAACCATTTACACATTGGCACAGTGGTTGAGAATCACTGCTCTAGACTATGGACGAGATGAGAGCGACTCTCAACTGATCTTATCTTGCAATGTCGAGGCGAGATGAGATGAGGAAACTAAAATGCAAGATTTAGATACGAAAAACAACAAAAATGAACATTTAAAGAGAGGCAACTCGATAGCAATAGAACTGGATGACTTAGAACAATACACAGGTTGCAAAAGTGCATGTGTTCGGAATTTTCAAGAATAAAGTACATATTGAGAAGGTACATTTTCGTCGATGTCATAGTATGTAGGTTTAATGATTCAAACATTCAGATTCAGAATATCATCCCACATTACGTGGTTAAGGAAGTAATTGTGAAGATTAAATTTTTGCACAATTACCATACAATCTCTTTATGTACTCTTTTGTATACGGGAGAAAGTAAAAATTGAGTAGTTAATTAACATTTTAGATTTAAATGTTTTCGTTTTATCAACGTTAATGAAAAAAAGTTGAACAACTCCAAGAGGAAAAATTTCGTGAACGCGCTTTGAAAACACAACAATTAATGTCAATAGCACTACACTTTTTAGGTGAAAATTCCCCAGCATTTTCGAAGTAATTGATATTTCCCGAATTGGTTCCGAAAAAATTTAGATTAAAAATAAAAAAGGTATTCAAATTTATTTTTTTGCTTTGTAAACCTTTTTTTATTTTTATCCATTTCATTCATTTCAAATCCTTTTCAACACCCCTCAAAAACGGGTTAATTATTTTTTGCTACTAAGCGACCTTTTCAATGGAAATAAAGACCGACTTGTTGTAGACGACTTTCGCAAAAACCTGACCCCCGTTTTACTTTAAACAGTATATAATGGTTTTGATCATTAGTGGGGGGGCATTCGGGGAGTGCCTTTTCGGGGGGAACTTGGGCGACCGTGATTGAATGATTGATGACCAGAGGGTTGCCTCTCTCGGCCATCTTTTGTCTCGCCCTCTATTTGTCACTCACTCATTCACTCACTCATTGTACGTTCAGTTTCTTTATATCTTTGAATTTCTCATTCGACCTCCAAACCAGTCCCGACCATCAAACCTTTCTTTTTTTCGTGTATTTCGTTGTTTGGACGTATCATACATCACAAGGTTTAAATTTAACATGAAAGTGAGTTAAAAAAAATTATACAAATTGAAACAGAAAACAAAGATAACTGAATAGTGGAAAACGAATCGATTCGTTTTAAGGGTTTATCCAATTTGTATATTTTCCCCACACAATCACCACTTGAACACTCTCGACTCGAACAGACCATTCTGAACTAAGCAATTTGTTCGTTTTGTTGATAGGTCAGCGGAACCCTTCACAATACAGGACAGTCACTAGTATTTCGAGTGGACAAGAACACGACAATGCATTTAAATATTTCTGGAGGACCATTGGATTATCGATACCAATTTGAGGAGCTTTATATTCACTACGGTACCGAGAATCAACAGGGATCTGAACATAAAATTGAAGGATATTCATTTCCGGCTGAGGTAAGTACTTAAGATTAATATCAATGTAAACCTTGAAGGGCAAAAATCACTCTTTGCATGGAAAACGCGTGTATATTATATGCAATTTATCCCCAATGTCGTATCAAAACTAAAAGACCACGAAAGATATAATTTCCTCGCTGAAAGAATTTAAATCTTTTTGGTCTTTAACCTTTTAATTAGATCATTGTGTAGGTTGTTTGAAGTTAGTTTTAGATTTTAACTTAAAGATCTAACAAAACGATTTAACGAACTAAAACGTAAGAAGAACAAGGAAGAAGGAGGTAATCTTGTCGCGCGCACGTTTATGAATGTAACCAACCGTTCTTTACGAGTGCTAGTAAAAAAGTCGTAAGCGTGTCGGCTCATAAACATTTTCATTACGCCCGGCTCATAAGTGAGTCGGTGCCGAGCTATTTGGTACTTCTATCGGCCTCCGTAAATAATGTTAAGTAAGAAGGAACGCCCGGTAATCCCCAGTTAACGACCAGTTGGGGGGATGAGTTCCAAACCAACGCAACGCGACGCGAAGAGGGTTAAAATAAAATAAAAGTGAAAGAAGAAAATTGCTTCCTTCGTTTGTAACTATATCATTATCAGGAAAGGATTTATAAAGAAAAAAGAAATGTGTTAGACGGTAGATTAAAATTTAAAATGACCTCGATTTAATCCAGAGTTGGTAAACTTTCCATCAAATGATTAATTCGCCTCATTGAGGTCACATCAATATTCCCTTTTTAAAAAGGGGTCACAATGGACGAGTTCCTTATTTTTCCGCGGGGACGGGTTTCCTTAAAGAGAGGCGATCGCAATTTTGCAGAGAGCCCTTTATTAAAGTGACGCCCATTGTGGCGGACGTAAAACCTATCGACGAGGATGAAGGGGGTGGAACGGACGCGCAATGGAAAATGGAAAATCTCGCGGGGCGAGATTGGTTTTCATAATTAAAATCGCACCCTGGACACCTGTACTTTCAATACTCTCTGATACTTTTCCCAGTGTTCTGTATACTTTATGTGGTTTCCATTTTCAATTTTTAGAAGCCTTTCAAAACGAATCCAAAACAAAAAATTATTAATCAACTATTCAAAAAAATAAGTAAAGGATTAAAGAAGAAACATTTTCATCAATCACGTAAAATCAAAACAATCTGTCAAGAATCATCAGTTTAGACTTTATTAACCATTTTTAACTTAAGCTAAACTTTATTAATTTAAGCTACTACTTGTATCAAATCATCCACAATGAAATTACTTATAACAATTTCAAAGTAGTATTAGTTACAAAGTCTTTAATAAGAGCTTTGATAAGTCATTGTATGTTCAATTAAATTCCAAAGTTAAATTTTCTTTTTTTTTATCATTTCTCGTAATTGCCATCATAACTTTGGGGTGTTGTTGAGATCCTCTATTTATCTTCTAAAATTGTTTCTGTTTCTTTATTGTTGTTAACTTCTTTTGGTAATCTTCTTATTTTTCGTCTTCTCTAACTCTTGCATTTTAAGTCGACTGTGACTTATGGAGTTTAATATTTTTGGTGTTTTGAATGTGGGTGTTCGTATCAGTTCAGAATCTATAATCTGTATTTAGCTCTGCTCTCTAATGACATTAACACCTTGTACTGCATAGCTCATTGATTTTGTGTGTGTTATATAGTCATATATATAAATATCCTCAAAGTAACAAAGTTAACGCAAGAAGTTTGTTAACCGTTGCAGGTAACAATGTACAACAAAAGTTGATTAACATAAATGTTTGTTATGTTAAATTATAGCGATATACCTAATTTTATTATTTAGCATATAAAAGAAAAAATGAGCTTTTGCTTGAAAACTTTTTTTAATATTCCGTTTTACAATAAAAACAAATGATCTGAGTTTTACATCAAAACATAAAATATTTATAGTGCAGTGCTATGGATTGGGGAACATTAGTTACAATGCAGTCTTTTCTGAAACGGGCAATGTGGAAAATAAAAGGAAGGAAAAAAAGCGAAGGAAAGAAATTGTTGCAGTAACGAACGTAGTGGATTACGTTGAGGTGTCGTTAAGAAAAAGGGCAGTTCAAGTCGATATAAGTAAATCCCATTTACAAAGAATTTATCGAGAAAATAATATATTGCCATATAAACCAAAATTTAAAAACACTATTGAATTAGGTGATGAAGCAAAACGTTTAGATTATTGTTTGTGGCTTGGGTACAAAATTTTGAAAGACAGAACTTTTTTAAAAAACAATATTTTCGGACGAAGCATCGTTCACCACTAATGGAGCGGTTACATCACAAAATTGTCGATTCTGGTCAAAGACTAATCCACATTATCGCATAGCTTGTAAACGCCAGTATTCCCAGAAAGTAAATGTGTGGTGTGCTGTTTCGTGGGACGGTGTTATTGGATCTCACTTCATAAACGGCAATTTTAATCAATACCAATATTTGGAAATACTAGAAAATTGTTTATTTAATTATCTTCACGGTGTGGATTTAGAAAAACGCAATAAATTATATTTTCAACAAGATGGTTGCGGCCCACATTCAACCATTTTAATTAGAAATTTGTTAAGTACGTTATTTGGAAAAAACTGGATTGGTAGATATGGCCCGCACCATGGCCGCCAAGAAGTCCGGATTTATCTATTATGGATTTTTATTTTTGGGGTTATGTAAAACAAAAAGTGTACACTGAAAATTTTAATAACAGTTTAGACCGTTTAAAACAAAAAATTGAAACTGTTATTAGAGAAATTCCGTTGGACCATGTTAGAAAAAGTTATAAACAATTTCGGAAAAGGTCTGAATTATGTGGTCCAATGTGTCGGTTCAATGATACCACCCGGTGGTGGTATCATTGAATAAGCTTTTATGTTAATTTAGTTTAGATTGAAAATGTTTTGTTAATCTTATGATGTAAAAATCTGCAGTTTGCTTTTATATCCTAAATTAATAAAATTCGGTATATCGCTATAATTTAACATAACAAACATTTTATCTTAATCAACTTTTGTTGTACATTGCTCAGAAAGACCACTTTACCTGCAACGGTTAACAAACTTCTTGCGTTAACTTTGATACTTTGCGGACATTTGACGTAAAACTTGGTTATATTTCGTTTTATGACATCCAGACTTTAATTGCAAAAGATGGCATTTAAATTCAAAAATTTATCGTCAATTATACCTTACGGGGACACAATCCGGGGACACACTGTATAATATTGTTTCTTCTCCTCCAAACTTGCGCAATGTTTCACATCCATCCTCTTTATTCCATCTGATTTGAGCATTCCAACTTACTGTTATCATTATATGTTTCATGTTTTTTTACATTTCTTCCAGTGCCATTTCAAAATCCTTAAAATTTGTCTTTATCTCTCGCATCTGCGTCTTTTGTTGGAGCATATACGAACGACTGGTTTCCAGAAACAAACTTTTTACGATGCCGTCAAAAGTTAAGGAGAGGCCGTCTAAGCACTGCCACGACTCCGAAGAATTTGCAGTAGGTCCGTTGTTGCGGTCAACGCAACCTGGAGCGTTCCATCATGAAAATGGCAAGGGGGCTTGGCGTCAGTGTAGTTACAAGGTATTGCACCAGTATCACATCAAATGATTGATACGATAATAGCCACCTTTTCGCTGTGCGAATATCGTCACTATGTTCACTACATCTTTAAAAGATATTCAAATAAAATTCAAGAGAAGCGTTTTGTATTGTAAAGGGGCTTCATGTGTTTCAAATCATGCTTTCGTAATCAGCTGTTTACATACACGTGAGTCCAACGACAAAATAATTGTGCCCAACAACTTAATTTCACCTTCGTCAACATTCAAGAAAGCGGAGATAAAGCACATGTATGTATGTAAGAGGAGGGGAGGGCATGCAACGGACGCAACACTTAGGCCCCAACGGGCCCCTTGTGCATCCTCCCAACACTCACTCCGGTTACATCGACCAGCCTATATAGCAGCGAAACATTAATAAAATAAAATTGCATCATATTTACATTATTTTATATATACTTTTCATTAACAGCCTAAGGAGTTACCAAAGGCTAGGATATAGCTCAGAGGTGTGTCTCTGACGCCATCCGTAGTAGGCCATTCTTCCCCGGACACTCTTAATGTGCGGTCCTTGAGGGCAGAACAGTCACACAAAATGTGATAAACCGTCTCGTTGTCTTGTTCACAAGCACGGCGGAGAGGGCTGTCAACACACTTTATGTTTTAAAGGTGTTTATTTACCTTACAGTGACCTGTAACAAGTCCCGTAATAACCCGTAAGGCGCTCTTACCCAGCCTTACAAATTTCTGTGCTGCGTCAGCTGAGAGATGAAATAATAACCGCTTAGCTAACTGGCACCCTTAACTCTATCCCATCAATCAATGGAGTTTTTGCTGGTTNCCTTACAGTGACCTGTAACAAGTCCCGTAATAACCCGTAAGGCGCTCTTACCCAGCCTTACAAATTTCTGTGCTGCGTCAGCTGAGAGATGAAATAATAACCGCTTAGCTAACTGGCACCCTTAACTCTATCCCACCAGTCAAGGGACTTTTTGCGGGTTAGGCTTTTGATTAACTCAATATGAGATACCATAGAAGGGATAGCTGTTGGCAAAGGGGAACAGAGCACTTTCCCAGCAATCCTTTTTGCCAGCCTATTGGCGTGCTTATTACCCGCGTGAGTCGAGTGTATCTTTATACACTGCAGTGTGACACTGTTTAGTGTTGCCGCCTCTTCAAGCGCCAAATGACAATTCATAATCAGCGCAGAGGTAAATTTATCCTTGCTTAGAGCTAAAACAGATTCTCTACTGTCGGTAAAGATTGTAAAAGTCTTACCTCTATAGTTGGAGCTAACAATATAGTCAACAGCAAATCAGACCTTCTCCAAGTGATATAAGGAGACGGAGCTGTCAATCATTAGAGAATCCTGAATTACACCTCCTGTATATTTAAATGTAGAGGTAGCAAGTTTAACATGTTTTCCATGGCCCCTGTGGGGGT